TTATTTTTGGTATCAAAGACGTTTTGAAACAATCTGAAGCTATGCGTCTTTTCTCTGAACACCTGGAGTCCAAACAGCAGAACCAGAACCTTCTGAGGAGAAACCAGGCAGCGGCCAGAATCACTGAAGTTGATATTTATTAGAAGCTCAAAATCCAGAATCCCCCCAAAAAAAGAAACTGTCTTTAGTTCAATTAAACGTTCTGGTGCTGATCCCCCCGTCGTTTTTCCAGGATGATATTTTTCCCACAAATTTCACAAGAAAACGATCACTCGCCCGAGTGGGTTCCTTTATGGACATTAAGATGACTTCTTACAGAATAACTTTTCCCACATATAGTGCACAATTAAGGTTTCTCACCTGAGTGGCTTCTTTCATGGACACTAAGATGTCCTTTTCGAGTAAACCCTTTCCCACATATAGTGCATAAAAAAGGTTTCTCACCTGAGTGGGTTCTTTCATGGTTATTAAGATGACATTTTACAGCGAAACCTTTCCCACATATAGTGCACACAAAAGGTTTCTCACCTGAGTGGGTTCTTTTATGGTGAATAAGGTTTCCTTTTCGAGAAAAAACTTTCCCACATATAGTGCACACAAAAGGTTTCTCCCCTGAGTGAGTTCTCTTATGGAGATTAAGAGAACCTTTTTGAGAAAAACCTTTCCCACATGTAGTGCACACAAAAGGTTTCTCACCTGAGTGAGTTCTCTTATGGAGATTAAGATATTGTTTTATTGGAAAACCTTTCCCACATACCGTGCATGTAAAAGATTTCTCAACTGAATGGATTCTATTATGGTCATTAAGATACCTTTTTTCAGAAAAGCCTTTCCCACATATAGTGCACACAAAAGGTTTCTCAAAAAAAGACTGTTTACCAACAGATTTCACAGACTGTTCATCTGACTCAACATTAGACTTGTTTTCTGAAAGTACAGAATTATCATCGTTGCTGTGACCCATCCCTTCCTGATGTTGCCTCTCAGTTAAGGAGGAGGTCTGAGAGTTTGGCTGGTCAGGGTCTGTGTCTTCTTTGCCAAAGCCCCATACTTGGTGAGTAGGGCTCAACGTGAAAGCACTAGTGTCTGTCTCCACTTTAATTTGAGCTCCTTCTTGATTGGCGCCAAGTTCATTAAGTTCCTCTTTGATCTGAGCTCCTCCTTGATTGGTGCAGAGTTCCTCATGTTCCTCTTTAATCTGAGGGGTTTCTGGTTCCTCCTGGTTCTGACTGTAATCTCTCTCTTCATTACAGAGTGTCTGGTAAGCAAATACTTTCTTCTTCTTACAGACCTGTTGGTCCGGAATGACTGCAGAGACAGAAGAAAACAAGCAGTTATTTTTGATTATCTTATAGGAATGTAATAGAGGATCCCCACTGGTGAGAAGTTGTTTACGAGTAAAGAATGTGGGATTATAGAACTTGAATTTTCCCCACATTTTCTACAAGATAAGGGTTTCTCACCAGTCTGGATAAAAATAGGGATTATGAGCCTACTTTTCCAAATGAAACTATTTCCACGTGTTTTATATTAAAAAAGACTTCTCAGTATATTTTCATGTATGCCCAAAATTCTTAGTGATTTCTGGTTCAGACTGGAGTCTCTCTCTTTACTACAGCACTTCTGGTCAGTAAATGCATCTTCCTCAACGGCCAGTTGCTGTGGAATGACTGCAAAATGGTGGAGAAAGACATATTAGACGTAAAAAAAGGGAACGTGATCATCACAAAATCACATCATCAAAAGTGAGATTTCTGTCCATAGTGATGTCATAGTTGTTACTCCACAAGTTTTATTCTTTATATTTTTGTGTGAAAAGATAAGACACTTTATTGATCACACAGCAGAGAAATTTAATTTCAGTAAAGCCCGTCCAAGATCTTATAGACACATAGACACAGGGTTCGTCACACATCAAGGACACATCTGGGGAGGAAGGAATGGGGGATCGGAGGTAAGGGGGGAAATAACATCAGTGGCTCCATCGTTTTTCTTTTATGACCCCAAAAATAAAGCCAATTTAGTTTTAAGTTGTGTTTCATACCTATTCTGTGCAGCTGCACTCGGGGGCTCAATGTGATTTCCAACAGCCGGCGCTGACGATCGATCTCTTCCTCGTAATGGACGACGGTTTTTTCAAACTCTGTGAATATTTCTTCAGCAGCTGCAGTTAGACGCTGGCAGATAAAGTCTCTCATATGCTGAACAGAAGACATTTTGGAAGCAAATATTCAGCCCACACAGACAAAAACTTCCGGCTTCCCGCACACACTTAGCCAAGAATCATTGTGTAGTCCACGCCTTTTTTTAACTTCCGGTCAGTGTTACGGGCTAAATGGTCCGACGGTTGACGCCAGTTAGCTTTGAACATTTGTCATCACAGATCTTTTTGTTTTGATTAAAAACTTGAGTATTAAGTTGTCTCTTGAACAAAAGCCTTAATATTTGTAGTCGAACGACTTACTTTTCCACGGAGTATATAAGTGTATAATACCACAAAAACATTTGCTACGATAAAGATCTGTTAACCAGATTATTTAGTTGGAAACCTGAGAATAAACCAGAGTAGATCAGAAGTATAAAATGGTAATTTATGACATCATCTCAAGTATATCAGCGCTTGGCTCTTCACAGACAAAATCTCTCTCAGGGTCTCAGTTGGCCAAGAGCCCCGTGTGTGATGGGTATTTGTCTCCTGGCCCTTAAAAAAGGACTGCACACTGCTTATTGGCCAGTTACTTACTACCCCTAACCCTGACATGAACTGGCCAGGTCCTGGTTAATGCATATAACCTTGAAATGTGGTAACAATGGTGAGTTAAGAAACAGCCTAATATTTAAGTTTTTTAATCAACACAAAAAGGTCTGTAATGACAAATGTTCAAAGCTAACTGGCGTTAACCGTCGGACCATTTAGCCCGTAACACTGACCGGAACTTAAAAAGAGGCGTGGACTACACAATGACTTATAAAAAATATAGATCATATTGTAAAGAAAGTACAAAAGGTTATCATTGAAATAAAAAAATGGGCGTTACAATGGGGATTCAAGTTTTCAGTTGAAAAAACAAAAGTAATGATATTCACAAAAATAAATAAACAAGGAAATAAAATTAAAATTATATAATCAAAAACTAGAACAAGTAAAATGTATAAAATTTTTAGGAATATGGTTTGATGAAAAACTAAAATGGAATATACATATTCAAAAAGTGGTTGATAAGTGTAAGAAAATCTTAAATATTTTAAGATGCTCTGCTGGCAGTGATTGGGGAGCAGATAGAAAATCAATGAAGCAGATTTATAATGGAATGATAAGATCTAACATAGACTTTGGGTGCATAGTTTACGGGTCGGCAGCTAAGACACATCTGAATAAATTAGACATAATTCAACATCAGGCATTAAGAGTATGTACTGGAGCATTTAAAACCACACCAACAGCTGCAATAGAAGTAGAAATGGGAGAAATGCCATTAAACTTAAGAAGAACAAAACTAGAAATAAATTAGTGGTTACATTTACAAAGCAATAAAATTGATCATCCAACTCGGGAAATTTTGAAGCCATGTTGGGAAAAAGAAAAGAAAGAAATGAAGAGTTTTGGATGGAATATTCGAAATAAAATAAAAGAATTCAAGATTGATCATTTAGAAATAAGTCAAACACCAATGTCAATAATACCGCCATGGATTTTACCAGAAGCAAATGTAGACATGTCAATAATAGAAAAGAAACAAGATAAATCATACACGGTAGAGAGATATTCAGTACAGATACATATAAACAAATATTATAAATATATTCAAATGTATACAGATGCGTCAAAAATAAATGGGAAGATAGGAGTAGCTTTTGTGGTGCCAGAATTCGATGTAAAAATAGGAAAACGGAGCACAGATGGGTTATCAGTATACATAGGAGAAATGTTGGCAATATTATTAGCATTGCAATGGGTGGAAATAAATAAAACCATTAAAAACAGTGATATGTTCAGATTCAAGCTCAGCATTATTAAGTTTAAAAAAATTTCAATCAGATAATAGGATGGATATATTATTAGAAATATTTTATACATTGTATAGAATACAGAATATGGGGCTGGTAGTTGTATTTGTATGGATTCCAGCGCATATAGGGATAGAAGGAAATGAGAGGGCAGATAAAATGGCAAAAAGGGCAATTCATAATAATATTAGTTTTACAGTTAAAACAAGTAAAGCTGAGGGAAAGAGTATGGTTAAAGAAAAACTGATGGAAAAATGGCAAAAAAGGTGGGATGAAGAAAAAACAGGAAGATGGTTTTATAAAATACAGAAGATAGTAGGAGAGAAAAGAAATGAAAGAAGAAATAGAAAGGTGGGAAGGGTAATAACAAGATTAAGATTAGGGCATACAGGTCTTAATTATACACTTTTTAAAATACAAAAGCATAATAATGGAAAGTGTGATTATTGTGATAGATATGAAACGATAAAACATGTTATGTTAGAATGCCATAAGTATGAAAGAGAAAGAAGGTGTATGAAAGGAGAGTTTGAATGTATTAAGGAAAAGATTAATTTGATAGATATTTTGAGGAAGAATTCGGGGAGTAAGCAGGTACAGATAATTATGGGATATTTAAAGAAAAACTAAATTATTTCAAAGAATATGATTAAAATAGGTGTGTGTGTGAATGGGTGCATGATCTAGGGGGGTGGATTATAAAGATATATATAGAAATGGATGAGAGTATGCAGGTATACATAAATAGGAAATTAATTTAGTTAAATTATATATTAAGGGTGGGAGTAGGAAGATACAAATACTTTTATAAGTTGATAGTCCATATCGAACCACACTCCATACCAGCAGGTGGCGGTAATGCTGCTTAAAGCTTGTTGCAAACCGCCAATAAAATCAAGAAGAAGAAGAAGAAGACGAACAATGACTCTTAGCTAAATGTGGGCGGGGAGCTGGAAGTGTTTTTCTGCGTGGGCTGAAGATTTGCTTCCAACATGACTTCGCCTCAGCATATGAGAGACTTTATCTGCCAGCGTCTAACTGCGGCTGCTGAAGAAATATTCACAGAGTTTGAAAAAACCGTCGTCCATTACGAGAAAGAGATCGATCGTCAGCGCCGGCTGTTGGAAATCACATTGAGCCCCCGAGTGCAGCTGCACAGAATAGGTATGAAACCCAACTTAAAACCAAATTCACTTTATTTTTGGGGCCACAAAAAGAAAAACGATGGAGCTACTGGTGTTATTTTCCCCTTCCTTCCAATCCCCCATTCCTTCCTCCCCATACAGTGAGGGAAATTAGTATTTGACCCCTTGCTGATTTTTGCAGGTTTGCCCACTTACAAAGAATGCTTATTTTTCCTCATCAGATGGTTATCAATTTTTATAAATTCATATGATGTGATTTTCTGGAATTTTCTTTGGGATTCTGTCTTTCACTGTTAGCATGTACATATGATTAAAGTTATAGATCGTTGCATTTTTTGTAAGTGGGCAAACCTGCAAAATCAGCAAGGGGTCAAATACTTATTTCCCCCACTGTATGTGTCCTTGATGTGTTATTTGACTATATCTGGGCTTAAGTGTACTGAGGTGTTTTTTTCAACTTTGTTACGTCCCCTGTAGGGGTTGTGGCATTGCCCCCCCCCCCCCCCCCCCCCCCCTTTTTTTTTTTTTCTGAAGTAAAAAGGTGAGCTGCCCCACAGTCTTCCCGAACCCTGTGTCTTTGTGTCTGTTTGTGTGATCTTGGACGGGCTGAACTGACATTGAATTTCTCCACTGTGAGATCAACAAAGTATCTTATCTTTTGACACAAAAATTTGAAACTAAAAATCTGTATTTTCTCTTCTTTCTGATGCACGTCTTGCTACTGTGCACTATTTTATTTTTATATTTGTATCATGTTCGAATAAATTTCATTTCAAATTTCAAATTTCAAATTTCAAAATGCAAAGAGTAAAACTCATTAAAGCATAGAATTAGTTTTGAATATATGGAATAACGGACTATGAGGTCTAATACGTCTTTCTCCATAAATTTGGACAGCTGTCATAAGTAATTTAGATTATTATTAAAATGATCAGCAGGTCGGTTTGACTTAATTCAGAGTACAATAGAAAGCCAGGTTTTGCTATCAAAAAGACTTAACCCTACATTATGATAATCTGATTGGATGTATTCCTTCTTCTTTCTCTGCAGTCATTCCACAGCAACTGGCCGTTGAGGAAGATGCATTTGCTGACCAGAAGTGCTGTAGTAAAGAGAAAGACTCCAGTCTGAACCAGAAGCAACGAGAGACCCCTGAGTTTGAAAAGGAAAATATCTCTGAAGTTGAGCCAGATGAACAGTCTGTAAAATATGTTTGTAGAGAGCCTCTGAGGGTTGATACGGAGGAAAAAAACCTCCACGAAAGTTGGAAGCCATTTGAGTGCGAAACATGTGGGAAAAGCTTCCTTTGTGATCGATCTTTACTGATCCACACGAGGAGCCACGAAGGTGAGAGAAATGTTTACTTTCTACGTCTACAAACCTCTAAGAATTTCTGGCACTCATGAAAATCTACTGAGAAGTGTTTTTCTAATGTAAAACACGTGTAAAGGGTTTCATTTGGAAAAGTAGGCTCATAATCCCTATGTTTATCCAGACTGGTGAGAAACCCTTATCTTGTAGAATATGTGGGGAAAATTCAAGTCCTGAAATCCCACATACTTTACTTGTAAACAACTTCTCACCAGTGAAGATCCACCATTGGATTCCTATAAGATAATAAAAAATAACTGCTTGTGTTCTTCTGTCTCTGCAGTCATTCTGGAGCAACAGGTCTGTAAGAAGAAGGAAGTATTTGCTTACCAGACACTCTGTAATGAAGAGAGAGATTCCAGTCAGAACCAGGGGGTACCAAAAAACCCTCAGATTAAAGAGGAACATAAGGAACTCTGCACCAATCAAGGAAGAGAGCAGATCAAAGTGGAGACAGAGACTAATGCTTTCACGTTGAGCCCTACTCACCAAGAATGGGACTTTGGCAAAGTAGACACAGACCCTGACCAGCCAAACTCTCAGACCTGCCCCTTAACTGAGAGGCAAATACAGGAAGGGATGGATCCCACCATCACAGGATCCAGCAAAGTTACAGAGATGAAGCCAAAGAATGGATCTAATGGAGACATGGGTCACAGCAACTATGATAATTCTGTCCTTTCAGAATACAAATCTAATGTTGAGTCAGATGAACAGTCTGTGAAATCTGTTGGTAAACAGTCTTTGAAGGATGAGTGTGATGAGAAGACAACTGGAACCACCCCCAAAAAATCTAAAAGACAAACCTGCACAACATGTGGGAAAAGTGTTACAAATTCTTCTTTTGTGGTACACATGAGAATACACACCGGTGAGCGACCTTTTTCTTGTGAAGTATGTGGGAAATGTTTTCCTCGAAGATCAGATCTTGTGAAACACATGAGAAGTCATACTGGGGAAAAACCTTTTTTATGTCCAACATGTGGGAAAGGTTTTTCTCAAAAAGGACATCTTAGTGCCCATAAAAGAACCCACTCAGGTGAGAAACCTTATGTGTGCACTATATGTGGAAAAAGTTTTTCTGTAAGACGTTCTCTTAAATACCATTTAATAACCCATTCAGGCGACAAACCTTTTGTGTGCATTATATGTGGGAAAAGTTTTTTTGTAAAATATTCACTTGATATCCATAAAAGAACCCACTCAGGTGAGAAACCTTTTGTGTGCACTATTTGTGGAAAAAGTTTTTCTGTAAAACTTTCTCTTAATCGCCATTTAAAAATCCACTCAGGGGATAAACCTTTTGTATGCATTCTTTGTGGAAAAAGTTATTCTAGAAAAGGTGGTCTTGATATCCATAAAAGAACCCACTCAGGGGATAAACCTTTTTTGTGCACTATATGTGGAAAATATTTTTCTGTAAAAAGTTATCTTAATTACCATAAAAGAACCCACTCAGGTGAGAAACCTTATATGTGCGCTATATGTGGAAAAAGTTATTCTAGAAAAGGTGGTCTTGATGTCCATAAAAGAACCCACTCGGGTGAGTGATCGTTTTCTTGTGGAATTTGTTGGAAAGATTTTATCCTGGACTAACGATTGAAAGTTCATGAAAGAGTCCACAAAGACAGGACAAAGTGTTCATGATTTGTGTGATGGACGCCCCATGTTTGTATTGGTTTATCCCCACTGTCAGTTGTTTTAGAGTTTGTAAATTCTTAGAGGCTTCAGGTGAGACTGAGACTGCTGCCACGGGCCCGATGTTTGTTTGACGAGCCCGTTAAGGTGATGGTGGCCGGATTGAGAGCCAGATCCACGGATGAGAGAGGAGTGGTGTTCTGCAATTGT